TATTATAAAGAGGTAATGTTTGTAAGTTTGTTTGCAGCAGGTAATCTCCGAAACTACTCATCCGATTTCAAAAATTCTTTCACCAATATTTAGAATGGAACCTCAGGTGGACATAGGCTGTAAATTATTCCGTTAAACGTTCATATAAATTAAAATATATAATCTAGGTTAAGGCTTTTATGTCAACAGATGGCGCTACGAGTACCCTAAGTTTGCTTTTCTGTGAGGCATTATGCTTTTCTGTGAAAATGAACTAAAACAGATCATCTTCTATCTATCTATATAAATAAAAATGTAATGTTCGTTTGTTCCTACCGGTTCCTTTGAAATTTTGACACAATGCTGCATTCAAATACGCACGTGTTTTTATATAATATACATGTCGAAATCCCCCCCGGGGAGATGGACAGGATTAAGGCTTACCATAAAGTACTCTGTTTCTATTTATACTATTTTAGATGCAGTTTTTTGCATTTTTGATTGCGTTTTAATAGGGTACGTCAACAGAATATACACTACAAAGGGATTTTTCTATATTCCCCCCGTGGGTGAGAGGGACAGGATTAAGGCTTACCGTGAAGAACTTGGCATCTATTATACTATTTCAGATGCAGTTTTTTGCGTTTTAATAGGGTACGTCAAGAAAATGTACACCAAGGGATTTTTCGAAAAATTTCCCCCCACGGGGGAAGTGTTATACATTTATAATAGATACATTTTGAGCCACAACAATGCGTGGTGTGGTCTGCTAGTATATGATAAAAATAGCATATTGTCATTGGCAACGGTAAAAGAGTGGAAACATCATTCGCACTTGTTTGCCTCACGTAACTGCCGCACGGAAAGTTTGTTGTTCGCAGCCAGTCTGTTGCTCGAGTCACGTAATGGCCAAACAGAAAGTCCATTGTTCACAGCGTCCATTATTAGAGGCATACATTATACAAGGCACCACTGTATTATTATGCAAATCAATATAAAAATAACTTAAAATTAAAGTAAAATTTGTTTATTTTTTGTCGCGTGTTCCCCTATCCCTATTTACTCTATGTTCAAATGACCTCGTTTAAGGCTGTTTCCCTTATTGCTTTGTGGTCTAGGAACGCATCCTCTGCACTAAGCAGAGTTTTACTGTATTTCTCTTTTCTGTATTCACAGTTTGTATATTTGTAACACTAACATATGCTCTCCACCACAAATTAGTACTGTCTTGCCCCTGTACATCATACTTTTTTGCTAGTAATGGAGTTTTGCCAGTCATCTATCTAACTCCTTTCAAGGAAAATATTTTAATTAAAATAATTCAAGTTCCAGTGCAAGTCAGAAGTTCATATATAGTTAACCAGTGCCTCGTGCTCCTAAACTTTCCATATCTGATCTTGACTTTCATTTATTTAACTCTGTTCTTGAGATTAAGGAAAGACATACAGATAGACAACAGTGGGAATTTCTAGGTCTAAATTTTTTTCAAATTGCAGCCCAATGAAGACAATAGCTACAGCATAGTAAATAATGAAATAAGTAAAATATAAATCAAATTCTTTAAGTAAAAGAAATAATCAGAAACATAAAGTTTGATTTCTGATTTTATATTTTATATAATTTTATATTTTGTTTGGTATTTTGCTTTGTACATATTTTGAATTTACAACAATTAACTGTTATAGATAACTGATGTTAAGTTTACAATAAATATTGTTATTTTTTGATTTGATAATAAATCAAAAAATATTGTGCTAATTATTGTAGTAAGCAGTTCTATTGATATTTTTATGATGGAAGTTGCAAAGTAGGTTTTAAGAGCTTTTAAAAATATACAACTTAGAGTTACTATTAAAATCATTATATATGCAAATTCTCACTTAATGACATAGATAGGTTCTTTGAAACTGCAACATTAAGCAAAAACACAAAACTATATAATGAAAACAATTGTACTATAGACTAAATGATACAAGTAAGATATAATTTGATTAATATTATTCTTATTAGGTTGTGTTGGCAACTTCTAGCATTTATTTTCCACCTCAAAGAATTATTTTTACTATTTATAAAGAAAATTCAACAATGATAAATGTAAATAATCACAATGATGCAGAACAAAACAATGTTAAGTGAGAACTTACTGTATTTAACAATAATAATTATGTAAGAGAAGCCAAAATATGAATTCCTAACATTAAAACATTTGGTTGATTTTTCTTTTAGTTGACTGTTATAAATTAGCTGTTTATAAATTAATCTAATTTAAAATAAACTTCTTATTAATGTATAAGATATTTGTCAATTTTTAGACCAAATTAATTTAACAATTGAATTAAAAAATAACATGATAAAAAATTAATATACTATTGAAATTTTCTAAAATCAAAAGATATTATTTTGTTTATTCTAATTTGTATTATGGAATATTACAAATTAGGATAAACAAAATTATATTTGTAACTAGTTTGAGTTATAATTTCATGTATTCATATTCTTATATTGTTAGAAAAATTTAGACTGAATATTTTAAATATAATTTAAACAATTTTAATTTATTATTTAAATTGTTTTCACTTTTGTAAATGTTTTGTGAAATTATCCTTGTAAATTCTGAAGAAAAACATTTTATATAGTATTTGACTTTATTTTTAAATAATCTTTTACTATTAGTTAATTTACTGTGTAAATAAACTATCTCTTTTTGATAGTTTATTTACACAAAAGAGGAATTCACAAAAGATTTTAAAAAGATCATCATTTTAATTTTAGATATTTCTAGAACACAAAAAAATATTAAATGGTATATTTTTGAGTTTCTAGGAATGATTTTTATATATTATTTATGTTGTTATATACTATTTTTTATTATCCTATACATAATACTGATATAGAATGGTATACAGCAACAATGGGCAAACTAATGCAACAAACTGTGTATTTCTTAGGAGAAACTATCAGAGAAAGCAAACTGCAGCCTATCCTCCTATATGTATATATATAATTCTTATGTATTGCTAAATTCAGGGTAGGGGATTTCTCTGTTGTTTTTTGGAGAATAAATACTAATCATTTAAAATACTCACAAATGTTTTTACATAACTTAACTTTATACACTTTTTTTAAAATTGATAATTAGTTTCTATAAAAATATGAACATTTTTAGAAGGATATAAGATAGCAATACCAATATAATTATTTATATTAAGTGCTCTTTTTGTCACGTTTTTTAGATCTACCATCATATAATATGGTGATACTATCTTACATCCTTCTAAAAATGTTTATGTTTATATATATATACAGTAGAACCCCTCTAGTCCGTCCTCGGCTAGTCCGTCACTCCGGTTAATCCGACCGTGGTTGGAGTCGAGAAACTTGTCCTGACTCGTCGGTGACTCACCATCCGTGGCATTTTTCTGTGTTCGTTACAGTATATGCTTTACATTGTGTGTACATGTACAGTTTTGTGTGTGTTTTCAACATGTCAGAAGTGAAACGTAAACACGTTACTCTTTCATTAAATGAAAAATTAGCAGTGCTACAAAGACTGGACAAAGGGGAAGATTGTTTATTTTACTTTTTTCTGATAATCCGACGTTTTTTGCGTTCCGACCAGTCCCAAAGGTGACGGATTAGAGGGGTTCTACTGTATATATATGTAAACACATACGTATCCATCATATTTATTGGTATTATTAGTGTATACATTCTCCCTCATTGAAGGATATGATACAATACAACTGATACAGCAGAAAATAATTATAAAATAGAGGAAGACATTTTTTTGGATTGAATCTTAGCTATTGAAATATATAAACTGAAGGTTTCGTGATCCTCTAAAATGAAGAATGCGCAATATATAAGATATATTTATATAACTATTTGTTATTTTTATTTGATTTTATATATATTAAATAGTATTCACTATTTCATTTATATTTTTTTGTCTTAATGATACTTTCAGTATAACTTTATGCTGAGTATCAATATGATTAATAATAAATGTCATACAATGTTTGTTTTGTTTGATATATATCTTGTCACTTTAATTAATCACTTATAGAAAATTTGCTACATCTCTGAAAAGCTTTGATTCATTATTAGATGGATTGACATTTTTGGCTATTAAGTAATTTTGCAGGATTTTATTTCTGCCAGATAACATCAGCATCCTGCTAGAGTTACAGGCCCTTTCCATATGAACAAAAAAAGTCAAGAGTTGAATCATGAGTTGTTAAGTGAACTCTTTCAAGTGATATTCTCTGAAACATGCCTCCTGTAATGCTGAATGACTTGCAAAAACTCATAAAAATTTAAAATAAGAATGGATGAAAAATACTTTTGTGACAATGAGGTTTATTTTCAAGGTATTTTCAAGGCATGTAGTTAATGCTGTTTGTTACATTCTAGCAAGCTGTTTATAATCTGTATATTACATATTTGATAAGCTACTTCCTAATGAGAAATTGAGAAAATTTTTTTTAAAAATATAGGACCAACTTTTGGATTTAGCTAGAGGATTTGGACATAGCTAGAGGATATGTAACGAAAATTTTAGAGCAGGATATTCTTGATGAATAATTTCTGGTATAAGAATGTCTTACAGTTAAAAGTTGCTGATGTCATCCAGTAAGCTCACATGCTATTATAAATATAAAAATCAACAGTAATAAAGTGTAAAGAAGTTCAGACTGCTACAATACATTATTTTATAGTCTGTGGCTTATACAAGTTTGAGATTAAAATTTTACAAAAACTTAGAATAAATGCATTTTTTTTATTATTTGTTACAAAAGAATCCGTGATAAGTAGAATGATTTATTGTGATGAATTGCTATTTTAGTATCCTTTTCTTTATATATATGCAAGCAATATTTTAAATTAAATGCTAGAATCAATACTTCACAGTATTTTAATGAAAGTGGAATTAAATTTGTTCTTAAAATCAAATTCTTAAATATTTTTATACATTAACATTTCTTTGCATGAATGTGAAATTTAAAATATATGTGTTTGTGTATGTCTATACATATGCACATATACTTTTGTCAAATACTTTAAGAATTTAATGATGAAAGAAGTATTGAATATAAAAAATTAATTTCAATAAAGAAAACTTTAATTAATTTATTTTATAGAGAACCAATTTATGCAAAATTATTGCATAAACTGGTTTTGTCAAAAGAAATTGATGAAAAGTAATTCATTCAGAGCTATTAAATTTTTGAAAACTGAGATATGATTTTTGATTTTTCGTAGAAGCTGCAATTGAATAATTAATTTATTATGGATGCAGAATTTCCCTTTGGTGTTTATCTTGATTCTGATTTTTATGATCTGTTTGATTCAAGCGATAGTGAGGTATATTCTAGTATTAGTGAAGATAATAGTGAAGAAATTGACTCATTTTCTAATTCTGAGTCAAGCAATGCTCTTGAGTCAGATATGTCCTCTGCAGAGAATGAGATTCCAACACCAGACCATGAAAGTGAAAGAAGTTTGTCAGATGTAGATGAACCAATGCATGTAGAGACAGAACCAGAAGAGAATCCTCAAGTACCCACAGAAGAAGTTAATGAAGATCCTAGTGAAATAAATGAAGAACAAAGTGATGCTTTACCTGTAACGACTCCAGTGACAAACACACAAAATATTTCAACTCAGAATAAAGAAGTTCTTACCACACCATCATTAGTTAAAAGATCAAACACTGCTGTTTCTCCTGGTGCTGATGATGATGGTCAAGTAAGAATTATTTCAAAATAAAGTAAATAAAAAGTATATGGCATAGGTCTATGACTACTTTAAGAAAACAAAGTTATATGAAGAAATTTCAATAATCATTAAATAAAAATTATGTATTTAATGAAAGCTTAAACTTTGATTTTTACATAACTACATCAATATCTATGCAGACTTCAAATATACAATATTGCACAATATGTTTAACAATACAATATTCCAGGACACATTTCATTTCATATAATGGAATTACTTCATAATTGCTGTGCTGTAATAGATAAGTAAAACTGAAGTTTTTTAAGCTTTGTTTGTAACCTTTTATCGTGTGAAACTTCATGAAAAAGTTGAAGAATATAAAGTCTGAAATTTGAACTCTGGGAACAAATAATGCTATAGCATATATTCTAAGCTATATAAAAGTTTGAGTTTTACAGAGAAATTGATGTACTTAGGTAGAAAATCAAACTTTAAGTGTGCATTTATAGGTATTTGTTCTATATGATTATTATTTTGAATGCTTTTTATGTAACTTTGTTTTTCTTAAAAGAAATGAATTTTATAAACATTCTGTATTTTAATTAAAGACATTTAAATGTAGAATTTAAAATTTAAACTTTGTAATATTTGAATTACATATATATAATATAAAATACTATAAAAATTATTACATTTAAAATTTTTTAATAAATATTTATCTACAGGTATGCTCAATATGTTTTGAATTATGGACAAATTCGGGTCGTCATAGATTAGTTTCTTTAAAATGTGGTCACTTATATGGTCACAGGTAAATGATGGTTGAATAATTTTTTTATCTAAATTAAAATTAATTATATTTTTATTAATGGAATAAAATAGTTGCATAGATAAATGGTTGAAAGGTCAAGGATCAAAATGTCCACAGTGTAATGCTCCTGCTAAACGTACAGATTTCAGAACAATATTTGCAAAGAGCTTGAAGGTAATACTTTTTGTTTTTGTATATAAGATATTACTAAATTTTAATAATAATGTATTAAATCTTTTGCAAATTTGAGTATGAAAAATTATATCATATAAATACTCTTTAATTAGTATTTTAATATTGCAGGTCTTAGATACCTCAGAAAGAGATTCAGCTCTTAAAATGCTAGAAAAGGAAAAAGAATTGAGAAGAAGAGCTGAACTGGAAGTTGCACAAATCAAGGTAAAATATCAAATGGTACTTCAAGAATGTGAAAGAGTCAAAAAAGAATTAATGGAACAAAAGCAGTGGATTCAAGCAGCAAAGTAAGTTTTATAAATTAAAAGTTATATATTTATTTTTTACTATTTTTCAAAATAGATTTATGATCCAATCTGTAACAAGTTTTAAACCAAGTCAAACTTTGTTAAGATCATTTAGACTTTTTTAAAAATCTGTTACATTACATGCAGATAAAATTAATTAATGTAAAAATTGCAAAATGTGTTATTTTATAATATAACTTGGTTATTCCCAATTGGTTTAATATAGATTTCTGTGGTCAATGAAATTTTGGAAGGGGTCAGTTGGGGTTGATGAAAAAATCAGATACTTATTGTATTTTTTTAAGAATTTCAGATAATTTTGAAGTAAGAATAATATAAATCTTGTGGGAAATTCATTAACTGATTTAATAATTTACTTGATATTTTATGCAAAATATTGGAAAATAACGAAAATTTTAAGGCAGTCAATTGAAAAGAATATTTTCTGTATGAGGGTCAATGCAAGATAAAGATTGGAAACCTCTACATAACTAGTAATATACAACTTTACAATGTACAGGATTCAAAAGTGATGGATAAAACTTTATTTCTTAAACCTAAAACTTTATTCTGTAACTTGGTTATTTTTGAGAAAAACCTTTATTTTAAATCAGTTTACTATTTCAACATTAACTAATGCAAACTACCACAGTCATTATTAATTGGTTTAGAAACAAGTTACATTTAGTTAATTAATAGTTAAAGAAAAATTAAATTTGCAAGAAATGCTTTCACTAGCTGTTTAAGTTTCACATCTATGGATAATAAGAGCATATACTGTACATTAAGAAATTGTTTGAATCTTTAATACATTTTTGTAGCAGATTCATAGCAAAACTAGCTCTTTTGCAAATAATGACAGCAAGCAAATTGTTTGTTTTGTTGTTTTTCATTACTAATTAGACTTAAAACTGTGAATGATTTGAAATAAAAATTTTTCTCTGTAACCTAGTATATTTGAGAATCTGATAGATGTGTATTAACATTTTTACTGTAAATTTAATAATTGACAATCCCATAAATTTTTGAATCACTCTGTATATGTATAAAATTTTAATATGCACCATACAAATACAGACAACTCCCATATAACACTTTACTTGTATAATGTGGTTTTGCTCTAAAGTAGTTAGAGAATTATGGCAAATCTCACATAACCATGGTATTTTCAAGCTTTGTGCAAATTTCCTTTTATGTTGGATATAATTATTCAGTATTTCTATTTATTTACTACTTTCCCAGTTGCTATATATAACAGAGGAAAGGTATGATGATCAATCAAAAAATGGTCCCCCCAGATTTTTACATTTTTACTCAGGAAAGTCGAGAAATGAAAAAAAAAATTTGGGGTTTTTTCCTTCATGTATGGATGTTAGTGTATGGGGGAGGCACGATTTTGTTCACCCTCTTTGAAGCTTAATAACTCCTGTGCTTTTTGTTGAAAATATCTGAAATTTTGCAGGGAGGTTTGTGTATTAGGGAGATTGATAAAGGCTGAGGAGGTGGAAAAATAAAGAAGGTCATGTGTATCTCCAGTAGGGTCAGATTTAATGACGATTTTACTTATTAGCATTTACAATTTATTATAAAACCAAAATTTTTGCCAAATTATAATAGTTAAAAATATAAAAAGTTTTTAAATAAAATATAACAGATGGCATCACCAAATATTGTTGGATTTTTTTTTTTTATGAATCTTGGTGTTATATCTGCCATTAAAACTCATTACATGAGAAAATCATTAGATTTTAGAAAAAATTTAATTCAAAATTTATTGAAATGATAGAAGCATGAAATAAATATTTTTCAATTATAGACTGTCAAATTCATAGTTTTATTGCTCAAAGTAAAGCCATCAATATTTAATGTATGTTGGAAAAATATTTGGCCAAAGTTAGTTCATTCAGGAAATTTGACTAAATCAGTGCAATAATAGAACTTTTTACTAAAGTTGTGGTGCAGATGTAAATGTATTTAAAAAACAAACTTATAAAGCATTAGTATGTTAATATCATGTTTTTTAAATAGTAAGAAGAGAAGGTTTTGATGATATGATAACCAAATATATTCAAGAATTACTGGTGGAAAAAGCTGCCAAGTGGATTTTGTGGAATGATGTCAGAGATGTAAAACAAAATTAATTCATAGTGCAGATGACAATTCTGAGGTATCAAATTTTATACAAACAAGCATACAGAAATGCATAAACAGCTGAGTAATTAGAATATTAGAATCTTATTTTTGGATGTAAATCCTTCAGCTTAAAAAGAGCACAAAGTTCAAAAGAGTTTTTAAAATTGTTAGCTACATACCATGAAATTATAAAGTTTCACCAAGCAAGAACACATAACTCAGATTATGGTTTTTTTAAAGAGAGCTGAAGAAAAACAAAATCTAGATGGTACAGATGAAAGTTCTCAAGGCAAGCATATTTTGCAATAGAGAAAACGTTCATATTTAACTGTGTTTAGTAGTGACAAGGAAATAAAAAATTAAATGAATGCATATTATTTGTCATGTTTATACCTTGTGAGACATTTGTTTAGTTATTACTATTATGAAAAAATTTTCAATAATAATAAAAAGAAACTAGCATATTTTTATTAGCTTCTGGGTGTAACCTCACTTTTTTTCCTGGTTCTTATAGTTCACATAACACTGTTTTTTGCACTATGTAAAATTTTTATAGAAACTTAACCACTATATTAAATGATAGTTATAAATACTATGTTTTAAATAAATAAAGTTTTTTTATTATTAAATATATCTTATTTTTGTAGAGCAACTAACAGGATAGATAAACGAGATATGCTAGCATCACAAAGTTCTTCAATAATTTCACTTGTTTTAGAGAAAACGTTAGATTTATGTAAAGATGGTGGCTGTAGAGTTCTTACATCTTGTGATATATTAAATATGCTAATTGTTTCACAGCCAAGTGTTAATAATCTATTTCCAGGTTTTGGAATTAAAAAAGTAAGTTGGAATTAAAAAAGCAAGAAGAATGATTTCTCATTTGTCATTTAATAATAACATTTTCATTATGTTTTATAGATTTCTACTATGGACTTTAGAGTTTCAGAATTTGTTAGCATTCATCAAAAACCAATTAAAGATATTGCCTTTCACAGAAGTGATACTTTGGTGCTAACGGCTTCTATGGATCGATCAATAAAATTAACAAATGTTTTGAGTAATAGCATTGTTCAATCGTAAGTGCTACATTAACAATTCTTAAACTGCATAACTATTTTAAATCAAATGAACTGAACATTTTAAATTTCAGTTTTATCTTATTCACAGTATTAATAAAAATTCTATTGTTTTAAATTAAATTTAATATAAAATTTGCAGAATTATTAATTAAAAATTTTTTTAAGTTTTTGTATTTTATGAAAGCTTTTTGCATGGTTTTAAAATAAATAATTGTTTAAATAATAAATAGAAATAAGCATATGTTTGATAAATATTATAAGTCTAAAAATTAGTTTAATGCTAAGTATTTTTTTAAATATTTTTGTGCTGTGAATAACTATTTCTTATAAGAAATGTATCATTTAGTATTTCTACTTTTACTTAATACTTCAATGTCACATTGCTATTTACAGTAAAACACATTAATTGTATATATTTTTAACTCTGTCTGTCCTTTGGGCACTAAGATGGCCTAGTTTTTCAGCAAGATTATTATGGGCTTAGCCAGGCCCTCAATGGGGTGGCTCGGTGGCAAAGGATAGGACTGAACATATCCAGATGGACCACCATCCCCCAAAAAAGTCCTGGGTTTTCAACCCATCTGGATTTGATTCCAGATTCCTCAGAGTGGTAGGCTTGCCACTCAGCCGTCCTGCCATCACATTAATTGTATTTAAACATATTACAAGATTATGTTTTGGTCTTTTCAGATATTTTGCTTTTTATAAAAAAAATAGAATAATTTAATTATTTGCTAATTTTATGATCTATATTTTCTTAAGTGACACTTTTTTACTAATAGATTTTTGTTTGTAGCAATATTCTAAATAATTTGCTAGGTTAATAATATATTTTAAGTGTCTGTANTTTATCAATCTCCCTAATACACAAACCTCCCTGCTTATTAACCTAGCAAATTATTTAGAATATTGCTACAAACAAAAATCTATTAGTAAAAAAGTGTCACTTAAGAAAATATAGATCATAAAATTAGCAAATAATTAAATTATTCTATTTTTTTTATAAAAAGCAAAATATCTGAAAAGACCACAACATAATCTTGTAATATGCTTAAATACAATTAATGTGATGGCAGGATGGCTGAGTGGCAAGCCTACCACTCTGAGGAATCTGGAATCAAATCCAGATGGGTTGAAAACCCAGGACTTTTTTGGGGGATGGTGGTGCTTATGTTAACTTGTATGTTTAGATGTACAGTACCTCCATACTATAAGAATGTACCTCCATACTATAAGAAAATAATAGACCACTAACAACTCTAATCTGGTTAATTTTGGCTTTGCTTTTACAGTAACTTATTTTCAGGTATCATCTTACCCATTGACTCCCCTTTTTGTCTTATCTCATAAAATACAGCTAGATTTCAGAGTTATGAGATTAGGTTACAAGTAGCAGATTGAGATGTTTATATGGATCTATGCTACTAGATTTGGGCAACTTATCACTCTTTGGGCTACATTTCAAGGATTATGCTTTACTTTTTATAAAACCTATCTAGTAACTTTACTTGTGATGTTTTTGCTGAACGTGTACTCTTTACCTACTGTTTATTTATATTATTATTAATAATTAATTAATGAAAGTAACATTCGCTATATTCTCATTTGCTTAATACCAGGGTAGCCAAGCTCCTTGATAGTCCGAGCCATTTTTCAAAATTTGAAATTTTTCGCGAGCCGCAATTAAATACGTATTAAAAAGGTATGCAAAAAATTCCAGATTACAAATTATATCCGTAGCAAGAGTGATACAAATTGTTTCCTCCAGAGCACAATGTCAACTGTCCATTGCAATGACAGTTTACAAATTCAAAATCGGTCTGGAGTCGGTCGATAACGGACGATTACGCCACTGTTTATGTTCGTTCGCGCAGTTTTCGATGAGTCATATCATTCTTAACTTGGACGGAAATGAAATTTGTTACAACGTTGCACTTAGTCTTTCATATTTGTTGTTAGTAATTTAAAAGACATTTTGAAACACATATGGAATGATAATAATTTTTTAAAATATAATAACACAAAAATGAAAAGGGAACTTGGGTACATTTATCGAGAGCCACAAATAATCCTTCAAAGAGCAGCATGTGGCTTGCGAGCCGCAGGTTGGCCACCCCTGGCTTAATATATTACATCAGTTATGTGGCATCAGGCATATTGTACAGAAATATATAAATATCAGATAATTTGAAGTAAAGATTATTGGGCTGCAATTTGAAAAAATTGTAGACCTATAAGTTCTCACTGTTGTCCATCTGCCTGGCTGTTCTTCCTTAATCTCGAGAATGGAGTTAGATAGATGAAAGTCGAGACCAGATATGGAAAGCTTAGAGGCAGGAGGCCTCGATTAACTATATACAAACTTCTGGTTTGCACCAAAAGTCATGTTATTTCAATTGAAAAATTTTTTCCTGAAAGGAGTTAGATAGGTGACTGGCACAACTCTATTGTTAACAGGAAAAGTATGATATACAGGAGCAAGACACTACTAATTTGGGGTGGAGAGCATATACTGTATTTTAAATTAAATAAATTAAAAGTTGTAGCCGAACATTGTGCTGATAAATAATTGCATATTGTTCCTTGAATTTCAAAGTAATAAGTATTTCCTGTAGTTAAACAAGAATACTTTTGCTTTAATAAAATTCTGTAAAGAATTTGCATGAATATTGTTGAATTGTTGAAAATATTATTGTATTTTGAAAGCACATTATTTTTTTTAATTGATTAATGTAACCAAATTTTTAAGTTTGAATATTTTGTTATATTTAGATATATTTTTATATAATTAAGTTTAAATATATCTAATTAATATTTTAAACAACTTTAGTTATACATTACCACTTGAAGCCTGGAGTTGTGTTTGGAGCAAGGATGATCCCAATCAATTTTTTGTAGGATTGAAAAATGGTAGTATTTTTCAATTTGATACAAGGATGACCAATAGTCATATATTTCAACTTCCTGCAGTTGGAATGAAATCACCTGTTATAGGCCTTCAGTACATACAGAAACAGTTAAATTCTGGTTCCAGGTATTTATTTAATTTTATTACAGAATTACAATTGTGATTTTTTGATAATGATTGTGAAATAAAGTATTAATTTATTGAAAAAAAAATTTGAATTAGATTTTAAGCAAAATTTAATATTAATCTGTAGTTATGCTTGCTGATGTAGGATATTGATCTGTTGTATATGTACTGATTTTGCTATTTAACTATTTTAATTATTGAAAAATATTCATTAATATTACTGAATATCTCACAGAGAAAAACATAATAATGTAATCCACAATACTAAACATGTTCTTTAAAAGACAATATTGAACTAAATTAATTAATTATGTGACTGGAGGGTTGGCATCTTTTTGGTGCCCTGTCAGGAATGACATCACCATGTCCCACTTGACACGGAAGCTGCAACGACAAGTTGATTAGAAAATAGGTCATGCAAGAGGTCACGTGAATGAGCAATCGGATTCGGGATGAGGCTGAGTTAGCAAGCAGGAAGGGACACATGCAGAGACTAGGTTAACTAAACAATCATTTATTTGTAAAAGAATTAGATGATATATACATTGTACTGTATTGAAATAACTGACCTATACACAGTAGGAGGTTGTGAAAGAGAGAGAGTTTACAATAGTTTGTGAGTTGATAAATACCTGGAGTAAAGGGTGTCCTAGGGGATGGAGTAGAGGTTTCGTTGTGACAAGGATGACAGGCTCTTAAAGTTGTTTTGTTTAGGATTATCGGGAAAGTTCCAAATCACTGATAGTTTGTCTTTGAAGAATCACTTGTAGGCGATGTCCGAGTTGCAAGAAGGTGAGATATCCAATCGGGTAGGATCAGGCACTGACACGATTACAAGTTGGAGAAATTTGTGATGACTTACTCCTGGAGGAACAGGCGATGACTTCTTTAGTTGTGGAGATTAAAATGGCGACTGACTCTTCAGCTGTTAATTATGCTATAAGCACGATATCGCCCGGCTAAGAGGTCAGCAGGTTACAGGAATGCATCGTTTTTGCTGTCGAGAAAGTGTAAGTGGAGATTCTCTCAGGTAGTAGATGACAACAATTATTAAACAAGTATGACGACATCGACGATCGATTTTTGTTAAAATTCAGATCATCACAATTACAAAGCATTTTTACTCTTATACAATTTGAGCTGCTTCAGTTGATGCTGTTCTGAAATGAATCAAATTCAAATTCATATTTATTTATGAGATTTTGATATCATGACTTTATGTAATAATTAATTATTTTTTGTTTCCTTAAGGAAGAGTTAGCAGGTATTGCTTTGGAAGTGATGACAGTGTGAAGACAGTAGTTTGACTGTCAACGCAAGCAACAAAATACATTCTATGAGAGAAGTATCCAAAAAATTTGTGCCACAATAGAAGAAATATTTGGCCAATTTTGGAAACTGTGGAAAAATAGGGCATGAACTAGACATTCAAATGTATATTTTGAAATTCTGAAATAACCTTCAGATTTCAAGAAAAAAGCAGTTGGCAAAGAATTTTGATTTCCTTTCCTATTAAGTGTGTTATTTCAGGTATTAAAGTTAGAATAATATACTTTGCAAATTATACAAATGTTTTGATAAGTTGAGTAGAATATTTGAAGACATTCATATAGAGCCATGTGCAAGATCCCAGTTTTGATCTTTAGTTGTAAAATAGTTCTCAAGAAAACTCATTTTTCTTGAATATTTCTATAAATTTTAAACTGGTTTAAAAGTAACGTTTTTGTTATTCTTAAAAAATTCTATTTGCCATGTCTGTGCAAAATATCCACAAAATCCATGTCTGTTTTAAAACTAGAGTAACTTAATTTTTTTATATTATATGTCAGGTGGTGTCCACTCTAGTTTTACATAAGGTCAATGAGAGCCTCATACCGGTTTTTCATATATTGTAAACAGCCAACCATATTATTTAAGTACACAAGAATAAATACATATAGTCAAATTTTATCTAACTTTATTAATATGATGACATATTCTACACAAGTTTTAAGTGCTGTATAAAGTATATATATAAGAACTTTTAACCTATCCCAAGTTGAATTTTTGTTGATGTTAAACCTAACAAAAAATTTTACATTTTTAAAAAAAGTAATTGTGGATATTCCAAAATTATTTTTTTATTTTCACAAACAAAATAGATATATTAATAAATATAAAAACAAAAAAAAAATTATATTTTGGAAGTTATTTTTAATAAAAAAATTATAATAACTAGCAATATCTAGTTTTAAAAACATACCAATACTGTAACGAGATATCTCAGGTCAAATGCTCAAAGTTAGAGGCCATGACCCCAAGAATTGTCGGGAATAACACAGGACAGGTTAATTAAGAGAAAGAAATAAAATACAAAATAATTTTTTTATTCACTAACACAAAGTGTGTTTTTATTTCAACACTTGGCGATGTTCCATCTTTATTCAGTTGATTTATTTACAAAATAATTATTTCAAAATTTTAAGAATAAAAATAAAATATAATAATAAATATTCATTTAAAAAAGTATCATATTTAACAAAGACCTTTGGTCAAATCTTTGAAATTTGGCATATAATTCATTAAAGATGTTTGCAGCAATTCTGTGAGATGCTGATTGGTCAACAGTGAACGATATTTCAACTTCACAAACCTCATTGTGGAGTACAATGATTCACAGTACCAAAAATTGAAATTAGATGGCAAGCAGCTTTCTTTAAGTGTTGATATTTTGATCCTGACATGAGTTTCCAAAATTCAATTAGAGAACTAGATTTGTGATGCATTTGCAATGCCTGATCTCCTTTCATCTCTAATAACTCCAATTCTCCAGCCACTTTTTCAACAAGTATTATTTTAGAAATTGGAAATCCATCTTCAATAATATCACAAATGAATGGGTTCATAAAATATGCAAATATAGATTTAAAACTTTTTAAATCTTTGAATCTACATTTGAAATCTGCTTGCAATCCTTCCAATTTTTCTTCTTTAATATTAATTATATAGGCTCTTAACCATGGAAAAAATGTCTAAATATTCTGGACTTAAGATTGTGCACAAAAAGCTGAAGTTTAGCTTCAAAACTAATTACAGTTTGTGACAAATCCACTAATCATTTTTTCCTTTCCTTGTAAAGCCAAATTAAGTGTTTGCAAATGTTCCATGATGTCTGTAAGGAACATGAAGTCAGAAAGCCAAGTTTCATTTTCTAATTCTGGGTATTTTTTTTCTTTTTCTTTTAAAAATGTTATGATAGGATTTAGGAGTTCTACAAAATGGCTCAAAACATTGTAAGTTGACAGCCATCAACAGATCATAAGGAGAGATGACTGATCATCTATTTTATCATTCAACCCTTCTAAACAGTTCTTAAATTGACAATGTGTTTTGGCATTTGTTCTAATTAAATTTACAATCTGCAAAACAATCTTCTACATATTTTCGTATTTTAAGTACTTTGCTATGAGATGCTTTAATGCATTATGCATTGAAGAGGTACAAACAGTGGAATTTTAGAATCATTGTTTAAAAGACCAATAAGACCTAGGTTTTTCTCTGTCATTGCAGGGACGCCATCAGTTGCAACACTTACAAGTTTATCATGAGACAATTCAAACCTGTTCATTACCTCATTAAGTGCATTTTTGACATTGATATCACAAGCTTTTTTCAGTAAGAGCTACTGGGTCTAACATTTTTTCTTTCACATTTACGTTTGCAGATACATAGCAGACAAAAACAGCCTATTGTGGATCATCCTAAATGTCTGTAGACTCATTGAGAGCTAAACTGAATGCTGTACAATTTTTCAAATCGCATATCAAATTATTTTCAACATTTTTACTAATTTCACTAATATGACACTCAGTTGTATGGCATGACATAGAAACTTATATGATCAGTTCATACAGTTTTGTATTATCTGGATTCAAAACTTTAACCACTTCTTTCAAGTTTCTTTTAATAAATTCTCCTCCATATGGACATTTGGCATGAGCAATATTCCAAGCTATCAAAATCTAGCTTCATTGGCTCTGTTATCTTTGCGACTAAAAGAAGACAAGAGTCCATATTGCTTATGAAGAACTGATTGCAATGACTTAAGTTTCTCTATTTGCAATTTTAATTGAGTGGATATTCAGTTGAAAAGTGGGGATGACTTACTTTGTAATGTTGACATAAATTGCTTAGTTTGCAATTGTAACTTTACAAATAAGACCATTATTGTCAATAAAAGCAAATTTTTCTACCCATTCGTTCTGAAAGCTTCTATTTTCTTGTTCATATTTTCGTTTTTTGATGTTTTTTGAGGTCATTTTAACAAAAAATTTAAGTAAATTTATTTCCAAAGTCTGAAATTCAAACAAAAATAAGTAAATAAATAATTAAAATAAAAATGTCTAAATATTAATTTTTTAAAAGATTCATAAATGGTGCAACAAATTGTCAAAGAAACAGGGTTTCTTAAAATAAAATAAGAGTAAAAACAAATTTAGAATAATTAAAGCAATTTTGGACTATATTTTTGGTTAATATTTTCTTGATAATTCTTAAACATTGTTTTGTTATAATTTACTACCAAAAATAGAAACAACATAACCAAAATCAAGCCAATGCTTTTCAGTTTTATTTTCAAAAGTTTTAAGTAATTGTTTAAAAAAACATGAAACTCTAAGTGCACTAATTGTAAACAATTAAAATAATTTTCTTAATCTGTATGTATGTCTTTAGAAAGCTTGTCCCAATGTTGCGGAAAAATTACACATCATAAACAAGTTTAAATTACTAAATAAAACAGTCTACTTACAGATTTTTTGAAAAAATGTGAAATTAGACACAGCTGATAAGAAGACTATCACTGAAATATACAACCACAAAATTGCACAAATCATAAATATACATGTGATCACTCCATACGTGCATGTAGTAATTTTTATAAGATTTGGCAAATGTTAACGACATTTACCAAAAATTGTATTATTTGAAAAATTTTGTAAATTTTGTAAATTTGAAAATAGTATGTACTACATGCAAATTACATACATGATGTAATTTGTAATAAAATAAGTAATAAAAATGTTTGATAAAAAGTTCTATCATATTAAAAATTTTTGTGCAATAAAACAAATTCCGAAATAAAAATGAAATCAGATTTCAGTGGGAGCTGCATTTGCCCATCATTATATGTATTCGATCTGAAATTACATTTCAAAAGTAGTTGATTCTATTTTTTAAAGCTTGTAATCATAAAAATGATTAAAATTTGGCTTAATTTCCATTATTATTAGTGGAAAACATAATATGATTTTTAAATTTTAAAAAGCACGTTCCTTAGTTGTGTTTCAATTACAGTTGTAATTGCATTTGTGAGTGTAATGTGAATTTTGCTTAAAAAGCAAGGTTTTAAACACACTTTTAATATAGTGCTGTAGAGAAAAGTCTAATAGAGATAGATTCATATGTTTAATGGAATGCCAAATTAAAAATTCTTATAAAATTTTTGCAAAACAATTTAACTAAACTTTTAATTTGTAATGTTAAATTGAAAATTTAATTTTACACAAAAAGGTAATTACAATTTTATGAACTATGCAATCTTATACAGAAAATACTATCTTATCAGATCTTATAGTAACTATTTTACAGTTTTTATAATTATATATAATTACATTTTAATTGAACATAATGAGAAAAAAAAATGTATTTTAATTTCTGTTACTGTGAAGTTTTGTCTGTTATTTTGATTTCAATGATTAGATTGGGTTATGGTAAGTTATGGCTCTATTCATTCATTCATTCACTACAATCTAAGATTTATCATGATAATTAAAGCTTCAAATCAGATATAATTTTTAAAATGATACAGTTGTGACAATGTGCAAAGCACTCTCCTATGCTTCTGCACCACGGGACCAAAGGGTAGGCACCTCTTTGATGCCACATCAGGACTGACACTACTGTGTCTCAATGAACACAGAAATTGCTATACCATTAAGATCATTTTTGCACATGTGGTCGTGTGTGGGTGCTTGAATGGAGGATTGGGAGACAGCCAGTGGAAGAAGTGCTCTCAACTACAAACTTAAAATTAAACAATACCTGTTTATTTACATATGCATTTTACCTTACTGTACATAAGTTATTTAAGGATCTTAGCTAGATGCTAATTTTATAAGGATCTCTACAAGATAGCTATTATCATTAATATCATGGGTCCCTGACTGTGAGAGTTCTCAATAGTCTGTGAGTTGATAAATACCTTAGTTAAATTGGGGTTGGTTCATTTGGGAATCAGAGGATTGGTGAATCGATGAACTTCTGGTATGCCAGGTGATTTGTTAGAATCTTCAACAAGTCAAAAAAGTGCAAAAGTCTCTTGATGTCTTGAGACAAGTAGATGGTAGGCAATGGCTTAAGCAGTATCCAAAAAGATTGGGCAAGAACACTAGTCCAAAGATGGCATACTATCAATGGCAATGAATGGCTTGCAATCATCATTGATGCCCTTCTTTTTATTAGAGGGTGGCATCCTTCCAGTTTCTCCTTACTCCCTTATTTGGAAAAGTTATAAGTCATGGTCAATGGTTGAATTTTGATCGTAGGTTCCGGGTGATATATTCATTGTGTCACCTGGGAATGGGAAGTGACTCCATTGAGAGATAATTAATAATCATGGAAAAAATTATAGCAACTTTTAATTAATACATTTCAAAAATAATTTTGTTCAAATATTTATCGTCAAATCCGGGCTCTCACACAGTTATTATTTTATAATTATTCATTATTTATTGCATTAATTTATTTTTCAGTTTGAATGGGTTGTTGAGTGGACAGTTATCTACTTGCTGTCTGTATGAAATGAAAAGAGAATCAGATTATAAGCTTCATCCACTACCATTAGAAGGTAGTTTTACTTCACTGAGTTATGAACCAGGAACTGGTCACGTTTTAGTGTCTTGCCGTCCGTCCGGAAAGCATGCATCAGTTACTCATATGGTAAATTTAATTTTGATTATTTTGATATATTATATAGTAATTTAAAATTATTTAAATTTGATTTTTTCTCAAAGCTCTGTGAATTAGCCATTGATGAAAGTAGCAGGGATTCAGATGTGGGAAACATTTGTTCTTGCAGTATTATACAGAGTTTTTCAGGTGGAGATAGTCAAGTACAAATTTCCAAATCAAATCTCTTCCTGCATCCAAAGAATGAAAGTTGCATTTTAGCATGTGCTGGAGATGAGAGAGCGCAAGCGGTAAGAATTTGTCAGTTTTCAAAAATATCTATTTCAAAAATATTTAGAATTAATCAATCAAATTAATTATTAAAAGGCTTTAATTTGGGATGCTTGCAATGGGGAGAGACTTCAACAATTGAAAGTTAACGATCCTCCAGTTTTGGATGTTCAGTTTTTTCGACTGGATCAGAATTATTTCCTTGGTACACTAACAGAAAAAACATTACGTCTGTATAAATGGACAAATATCTAAAATTATTTTATCTAAGGAAATATTTGTAAATAAGTAAATTCAAGCATATAATATTATGTATAATAATTATGGTCTTCCGACAAAAATTCTGAAAATTATTTCAATCAGATTTCGATATTTGTATTGTATAAAAGTTGTAAATAGATATCTGCATTTATGCATTAATTTCTCTTTTTTACATTTGCCTTTTCTGTAAAAGTTGGAAAATGCTTTTTTTATTTAAAAAAAGTTGTATTTTGGGATTATTCTCACCAGAATTAAAATTGAATAAAAATAATTTATACCCAAATGTTTTTAAAACCTTTTAGAAATAAAATGAAATAATTTTTTATTCTTGTAAAACATTTTTATTTATTTTTATTTATATGTGTTAGTTATGATATGTGATATTTATGTGACATTTGCTTACAGAAATTTGGTAAACTATCAAGTAATTATATTTGATAATTTATTAAATTATTTTCTAATATAAGTCTTCAATTGGATAGAATTGAATTGGTTTGTTTTAAATTTGACTTGCAGCTTTTCATACATTTTTATTTGAAACAAAATGTAGTTGCAATTGCATTAGTCACAGTAACAACATACAGTGGTACCTCAGGATACGAAATTAATCCGTTCCGAAACTGAGATCGTATCATGAAAATGTCGTAAGGTGGATCATCTTTTCCCATACGATGACATGTAAAACCAAATAATTCGTTCCAACGCGAAAAACATACTCAAATTAAAGCCAAGTAATACATTTAAAAAAATAACTGTAGTAAGAAAAACAAATGAAAAATGCGAACTAATGTAACGTCGTATGGTGAGTTTTTGTTCGTATCGTGGAGCAAAAATATGTTCGAATTTCATGTCGTATCCTGAAAATTTCGTATGCTGGGGCGTTCGTAACCTGAGGTACCACTGTATTTATTTTGGCAGCAGTTACATGAAATGACAAACTTTGGTATTTATATTGTTTAGAAAATCAAATAATTTATTTTGAAAAATTTTACTCATTTCTAGCTACAATAATAGCATACATTGAAGCTATTTTCCTATATTGAACATAAATGGTAAAGCATTTTAAAATGAGAAGATTAGTAGAATTAATTATTTTTCTTTTCAAAATCATAACTGTTTCTATTGAGGGCAAAGTTTTAAATGCGAAAACGTTACATCGGACGTTCAGCGCTGCTTTCCTGTAAGCCTAGAAGTTCAACAATGGAATAGTCAGTGGAATCATGCTCGACATTCCAAACACCATTGTCAAACTTCTAGGCTTACAGAAAAGCAGCGCTAGACGTTCAACGTACACGTTTTCAAACTTCGGCCTCAACCTCGCTATTATCTGCTTTGGGTAATGTCATCACTTCACTTTACTCATCGTGAAATGTGTTTCTTTTATCACTCTTGCTATATTCATAAATAATTTACAAATATAGCAAGTATGATAGATAGCAAAATTAAATAAAATATTCATATTTATTAAATGAAGTGTTAATAGTTATTATGTTATGCTTCAATTACAGTTATTAACATAGTTAACACAGTCTGAATTATATAATACAAATTAGATAATTTTTAGACCAGTGATTTCAACCTTTTCTAGTACATATATCTCTTTCATAAAAATGGAAAATTTTATGTAGCCCTAAATGTCCATAAATTAAAAATAGTTAAAGAATATTGTCAAATATAACCATTTGACAATATTCTTTAACTATTTTCAATTTATATAATATTATTCAATTTATTATAAATATAACATTATAACACACTTTTTGTTCTATGTTAGCAAGTATTATTATTCTCCAATTCCTTATGCTTAAAAAGTATAGAAAATGGCTATTTTTTCTTGAAACTTTACTTTTGTGACTAGGATAATAGTATTTTGAAATGTACCTATTTTCTAGAACATTTACGATTGATTTAGCAGTGAATAAATTCTGAGAAACTTACATAATGTTTGAGAACATTCTAAAATTTTCAACCACGTTACAGAAATCATTAGAATTAGTAACATAAATATAGGGGCCATAAGCCCACCAGTTCAGTTTAGTTCAACTAAATGATCTTGACATTAGGTTCTCAAGTAGTGAACTTTTTACATAAGTGTGCATGCCACAGATCAACTTTTTCCAGTTTCTTCACTCATCAAGATATGCTCTTCTGGCACAATGTGACCAGCCATGCAATTGGAATTGGCTATATCCTGAACAAGTGGCACTTCTTCATTGACAATTCATCCAGGAGCTTTAAAGCTGCGCTGTTCCATAATGGAAACAAGCACCATCTCTTTCCCTGGCTAACTTGGTATACTTCAAAGCAGAATACAATAGCATCGAGACCTTGTTACATGCCTTGAAGTATAAAGAGCACAGCTGAGAGGTCATTGTAGACTTCACAATGATAGCATTCCTGATGGGTCTCCATGCAGTTTTATCAAGTTTACCTGCTATCTTTGCTTCTGGGACAGCAAGGAAACACAAGCACAAGAGGGATTGGCTATAGCAGAGAGAGTTTTCTATGGGGAGAAACAATGTCAAATGGAGAGTCACTGATGGACACCTGGAAGGTTCTGATGCCACCATTGCATGTCAAATTGGGCCTGATGAAACAGTTTGTCACAGCTCAAGATAAGGAATCAACATCCTTCTGTATATTCAAGACTTCTTCCCTAAGCTGTATACAGCAAAGGTCAAAGTCAGTGTCTTTGTGGGATCACATATAGAGAAGATCATGGAGTGCAAGGACTCCACAAGAATCTCACTATGATGAAAATAATGGCTTGGAACAACTTAGATGAAATGATTCAGAGTTTCTTGGGCATTCACAAGGCCAAAAATTATGTGGAACAGGTTGAGACTGGTGAAGAACTATGGCAAAATAGGCCCTTAAGGTCAATTACCAATGCTCATGATAAATTCAAGAATAACATGAAAGTGAACTTTGAAGAGTCTGGCAAACACTTCCACTAGGATGTATGAGACTTCAGATTCTGCTACCCATGCAGTTCAACAAGAATGATGGGAGCCTGACTATATTTGTGAAAGTGATTTACAATATAATTGTAAATCTCAAAAAAAACCACTCACTTGTAAATCTTTTTTAGTCATTTTTATTACATTTTCAAATATTACTGACCTAGTTAAGAAAGGAAAGGACTATTTTCTACACTTTTTAGGCATAAGAAATTGGGAAATAACAATTTCAACACATGTTATTTCCCAATTGCTTATGCTTTGTTATTAATTTGCAATTTAAAGTAGTTTAGTAATGTAAACACAAAGATAGTTGATAAAAATGAAAGATTAAATTAAAATGAACAGAACTCCTTCAGAAATGTATAAAGTATAAAATCCATTAAAAAAATTTATCCAAGTCTATAAAAGCTTTTATCTTTTATACACTTAAATTTAGAAAATTTTTGAATTATATATAAGCTTTTTGAAATAGAAGTTGCTAATTTAGATAGTATAAATTTCAATTTTGATACATTCTGAATATTTTATGAACCTAATATTTTTTTGTTTTATTAGCTGCAATTTGCAATTGGAAGTTTTGAACTTCTGGAAATTCAGTTGTATTCATTTTTCAATATTATAATTATTGAGAAACAAAACACCTTTTTTTGCCGAGAAATAAATATAATTGTAAAAAACAAACATTTTCAGCCCAATTAATAGGCCATCTTCAGGTCGAAAACGAAAATGGAACGTAAATGTTCCATGAATAGAACATAAAAATTTTAAATCAAAAATTTTTTACAAGAGGAAAACAACGGAAGAATATATAAAAATTAAAATAAAACAAATAATAAAACAAAAATAACATAAATCTTTAATGTACTAATTCTGGTCCAAGTTTCTAGTAAATTTCTTAACCAAGTACTTCCATGCCGAAGGCAGGCTCTCAGCATCCCTCACATTTAAACAGCCTTCTCCTATCCTACTTTCTCCACAAGCATATATATTAAACCTACACACACCCCGTTGTATATACCCTCCCAGTCCATGGATCCATATTGGTATAAGATGGCAGCCTTCTGAGCTTTAATAAGGAGAGCTTATTTATATTGTGACCGAGTCGGTGACAGGGCGAAGGAGATTGATAGAGTAATGCAGGTGGCCCGGACCCTGGGTTACAGAAAAAGTGTAATTGTAGGAATGATTAAGAAGTATGAAAGGGGCATAGTAAAAAGAACCTTAAGTAATGTTCCTACTAGGCTCACGAAATTTACTTATAATAGTAGTATGAATATTGTTATGAAAGAAATTGCTAGTCGAAAGGAATCAAGAATGGTTTTAAGAAGAGCCCCTAATTTGTATAAGATCTTGAGAAATGATAAGGATAGTATCAAAGCGGAGGAGAAAGCAAGGGTGTATAAGATACCTTATGAGAACTTACAACTGGATGTTAAAAAAGATTATATCGGCGTCACCACAAGAAACTTGGGAGTAAGGCTCAAAGAACATAGATATGCCATAAGAAAAGCGTCTAATTCAACGATTTTGTCCCAAATGGCGCAAGCCCAAGACTCTGAGATAAAATGGGACGAGGCAACAATCATCAAACCTCTGTCTTCCCCAACGTTAGCAATGACGGCAGAGAAGATTGAAATATACAGAAGTAGGATAGGAGAAGGCCGTTTAAATGCGAGGGATGCCGAGAGCCTGCCTTTGGCATGGAAGTACTTGGTTAAGAAATTTACTAGAAACTTGGACTAGAATTAGTACATTGAAGATTTATGTTATTTTTGTTTTATTATTTGTTTTATTTTAATTTTTATATATTCTTCTGTTATTTTTCTCTTGTAAAAAATTTTTGATTTAAAATTTTTATGTTCTATTCATGGAACATTTACGTTCCATTTTCGTTTTCGACCTGAAGATGGCCTATTAATTGGGCTGAAGACGTTTGTTTTTTACAATTATATTTATTTCTCGGCAAAAAAAGGTGTTTTGTTTCTCTTTATTTAATTGCTGAGCGCTTTTGATATTATAATTATTATTAAACTTTAGTATAAAAATGATTAAATCTATGAATAATAAAATGTTCAACTACTCAAAAAAAAAACAAAATTTTTAAATGGGTATAAATATTATAAAGTCTGTAAATCCGCACGAAAAATATTTTTCGTGAGGATTTACAGAGACTTTATAATATTTATATATAAACAGCAGTCATAAGAAATTTAATTTTAAATGGGTCTTTTGTGTGTCGATCAGTTTTCATTTCACCAAAATAATTTTTATTAGTATTTTTGTATCCTCTCATCTTCTGGTTAAACAGAAGACAAGTGTGCAAGGAAAAAAAAAACAACTCAAGTTGTTCAGCATCTCGGCAAAGAAACTGATTTAATAGCTTGACTATAATGCTGTTTGCTAACAGATAAACAAAGCCTTTTCTGAGAAACTATATAAATCAGAAGTGATGTAAAATATAACCAAACAACTAGTATTTGTTTGGCTATTTGAAAATGCATTTCTATTAAAATATTACCAAGAAAAAATGTTATTTTCTGAATATACTTTTGTGGGATTCTAAGTAACATTTGTTTCAGTTCTTCACATAAATATTTCATTGTATAATTTTGTAATATATTAACTAATTTGTTTATATTGTTTATAAAACTTCATAAATAACAACAATTCAAATAGTTTATTTGAATAGTTGTTTATGAACAGTTTTCTAAACAATATTTAGTGTTATTAAACAGTGAAGTAGACTTAAAAGAATGGTCAAACCAAAGAGTTAATTTGGTAATTCATTACTGGCCACCAATTATGAAGAATCCTTTAAAGTTCTATTTTATTGAGAATTTAATTGGTAATTTATTTAGTTTGAAAACTCCTCAATTTTGAAAACCCATTTATGTCAGTTAAAATAGATAATTCTTATATAAATGAATGAATGAAAAATACTTTTAACATTAAGAAATAAGAATACAAAAATACACTTAAAATTTTTTTAATGATCTTTCTATTTGTTAATTACAAAAACATTTTCTTATATTGGTTCTTTTATTTATTTTTTTTTGACAAATAATAATGTTTATAAAACTTAAACGTCTATCATGAATATTTACAATCTTTAAAAATAATAATAACAAAAATTCTACATTTTTTTTACTAAAAAAACTTCACTTTTGTATATAAGTTACTTCAATTTTAATAATTTTTTTGGGTATTTTTTCTTTTTTTTATCCAAATTCGATAGAATCTTAACCGTTCAGGTTTTTCCATATCCGTACGAAAAATCAAGAATCCTATTCTTGGCTCTCCCTCATTTTTGCATCCATTCCTTGAATCCGTACTTGAAAAAGGCTATTAAAAAAAATTAAGATAAATTATTCAGACATTCGGTCGTTTGACCGTAAAATCTAAAATTATGTACTAAATAAACTCTGTGTGGATTACTTTTAATATTACGGAGATATTCCTTACCATAATTTGGCAAGAAAACAGGAAAGCCAATGATATCTTCGTAACTAAAAATGGACGTGTGTTCTGTGTGTCTGGATATTACCCAGATTCTTATTTATCTTTTTTTTCTTACTTTCAAAAATGCTATTTGAATAAGTTTGAGACTTGAAAAATTATATGTAATTTTTGTTTCTAATATGAAATCCTGTTTATTGAGCTCTAAATCGAAAGTAATATTTAAAATGTATTACCTCGTTATAACAAACAGCATTTAAACCGTTCAGTTAGTGTTAAAACGAAGTATTTCAAACTTTAAACTTTTCGATAATTTGATGGCGATAGTGTGATAGAGGTTGCGGCCTCAATATACCATTCTGAGGGATCCAGGAACAAATCGGAAATATTTCGCCTCAATATTTCGGATAGGGCATGACGTATCCAGGATATTCCATGGATACGTCATGCCCTCAGCACCCAGCCGCCTCATTATGGACCAGGCCAAACCTACGATAGGTCTGATAGCCCTCTTACAAGTTAGTGCTCACAGGTTGGAAAGAGTAAAAGGGGAGCAATTTTGGTATCAAGCAAATTTGCCTTGATTTAAGAATTGTCAGACTTACCTCGATTGTCCTTCTTCATTCTTTAAAAACTGACGAATTATCATTTTACAACTGTAAAGGAAGAAAGAAAATATGTTAATACTTAATACACTTATATTCACTGATATTTTCCAACTTGTATTAGATTACATTATGGTACTCACTACACTAGACAATATCCAGAGAGATCCTAACAATACAATTAAGATGGAATAATTCATGACGAGGTAGAAAGTTGAACCGTGTTTATCGAACAGACCCATTTCAGAAGTGGAAGTTTTGAACAGCAAAGAGAGACAATTGACTCTTGTCAACTTTGGATTGTTTCTTAAGGGAACCCGAGGATGAGGGTCTTATTTATTCAAAACTCGAACCAATAGGAGGAAAGATGGGTCGTTACCCAAGAAGAATTGCGTTATTATTACGAATTCCGATGGCTTCCCCCGCAAAGATTTCGAAAGACCGTTTTAAATTAGAAAATAGGATCTGGTTCCATGCCGAATAAGACAACGAGATGAGGTCAGAAAGTTAAGAGCGGAGGTTGCGAGTTCGAAGAACTCGCGAAAAAAAGTAAACAAGAGTAGAATGCGACACGTCTTTTGTTGCTTCTGGAATCGTGTCAGATCATTTATAATGGTGCCACGTACAGCGAACCAAGGAAAAAAATCACTTTAAAAGTTTTCCATTCATAACGAAAACTGGCAATTCGAATATTGCATAAATTTGCGCGTAAAACTGATCATATTTATATTATTACGGTAAGGACTAACAGAATAAAACAAGAAAAATAATTGTGGTTTCCGTGGTTCTCAGACTTTTCGAAAGCCAATTTTGCGATGGTCTTTGATAACAATTGATTACAATTAATTAATTAACGTGCTTATCATTTGAAAAATTAAAACTGGAACGAGATTAATTAGTCGATCCAGTAGAGTTCGGGTACGAGTTCTTATGTCCTGTTTCGAGATTATTTAGATTATTCTGACCTCGGTTTTGAAAATAAATGGTGATTCTCGGGATTTTATAATTAGAAAAAAGTTTTAAGACTATTTATTCATAGCGGAAATGTTTTCGGCTTATGTTCACGTCTATACTTTCACATGCAAGAAGTTTATTTTTTCATATCTGGATCAAATCCAGAAATTTCGATCGCAGAAACTCCGCGAGGAGGTCGGAAATGACGCAATGACCTAATATAACCCAAAACTAAATTTGGAAATCAACATTTCCCTTTAAGCATAATATTCCCTTAACGAATTTACTAAAATTTATGGTATTTAATTTAATCATTCTTGCAAAAATATTAAACATTTGGTTAATTCTTTTAAACCTATAAGTAATTACAAGAAAAAGATTAAACTTATTAAATGGTAGACGAGATTAAGTAATTAATTGTTTCGCTCATCGGGACCGAGATTAATTTATATTAATAATCTCGAGCACGCTATTTATTACGAGATTAATCGGTCTGAAATCTTGAATACATAATTACGTAACGAAACATATTTGGCAACACTACAAAATGTTCTGTCAAAAGAAAAATAATATATATGTTAATTACTACTACTGACATGATTTCTATGATTATTGCATTGATAATCATTTTTTATGATCGATTAATTAAATTATATTTTGTGTATTTAGTCGAGAAGTTTAATCGCCCATGATGCTTATCAAAAACTTTTCAGTTTTATCCCTAAATTCCTTGAAATCAAAGGATTTAAATCCTTTCGGAATCGAGGATTTAAATATTTCGAAATTAAATTCCTTAAGATTTAATGCAATTTTGAAACATAAATTGTACTTTATTATGATCACCCACTTACGATTTTTCGGCAATGATTCAGGTTTCTTGGCTTTCGACCAGGTTATGATGTGAATGACACTCGAATAAATTTGAACCTGAAGATTTTTTGATTGATAAAAGGTAAAAGCAGAAGATAAATATTCTCAACCATCTCGATTAGTAATGATTCATTTATATATTAAGTTGATGAAGTACAAGCCAGCGAGATAACGAGTGCTTCAACTAAAATTTTTTAAATATTAAAGAACAATTCTTGTCTGTTTTATTTGTACAATTTTATTCGATAATTTTTAATAATGATTTAAAAAGTAAATATTTTTCAATAAGAGTTTAATGAAAAATTTATCATTGCAATTCGCTACTGTCCGTCTGTGAAAGCAAACTAAAGTAAGAATAATTAGGAAATTCTAGTAATTAGTTTATTTTTTATGGACGTAATAATAATAACAATATGATTATGGCCTTCTAAATTATTTCATTTAAAAACGCACATATATTGGAACCAGTAGCTATCTTCATGCATAGTCACTAAAGATCAAGATTTATTAATTAATTCTTCGCCATATTTAGATGTCTCAACTTTTCGCGATTGCAAGCGAGCAAAATATAAAAGTTCTCCTCGACTTAAAAGAAACTTACCCCGGTATAGAGAACCCATAGTATAAGTAGGAGGACGATCAAAACTACATAATTAACAACCAAACTCATTCCTTCTTTGTCGGCCATCTTTTTTTCTTGAGGACTTCTACGGAGGAAAACCGAAGACGATGAAGATTCCTGAAGGATTGATGGATTTTTTCTCCGCTTCTCGTCTGCGTCCGACAAGTATAAGTTTTGGAGCCAATCGGAATACAGTCGGACCTGTCACCCACACAAGGACACCGAAAATCTGCTGTAACTATAAATAAAGTCAGAATTCGACTCGGCACTTCCATCAAACTATGTTTATTAAACTGTCATCTTTCTTGTAGTAGGTGTTCCTGATACACTGCAGTTTTCCAGTCTCCCTCTTTTTCCAGTTTTTTCCACCATCCTCTCCGAATTACCAATTTAAATAAAGTTAACTATAGATCTTTCGAATCTACAAACAGATTTCTCTCATACAGTTATTGTAGATCAAACGGTGTCTGTCGGTCACGCTCTTTATCTCGGGATCTATTCCCGATTGAAAATGTGGTTGACGGCATTTGTTTCTACACGAAAGCAATTCCGTTAATACAATTATGTTATTCCTCCATTTTGAAACAAAATGGCGGGCTCTTAAAAGGGTAAGAATTGTGAATTTAATTAATGATTTCTAGTTATTAAGCCTATATCGTGAATTTCAAATGATAAAAAGCGTGTCTTAAAAGATACTTTTTGTAAGAAAAATTCAAAACAAGCATTATTAAAATATACAAAATTTAAAAAGTATCATCGCGTGCGATGCTGTTTTTTTAAAATTAAGATTTTTCGCATCGTCACACGCGTAACAATGTGACGCTACGCGAAAAATCTATCTAAAGGTTTTAATTACGTATAATTAGAAAAATTACTCACTAAAGTAAAATTCAATTGAACAGAATTTTATTTTTAAACATAAATCAACTTCTTTCATCACCGTTCATTATTTTTAAAAGAAAATGGCGGTTGTTAAAGAATACGGCGACATCACGTCGCGATGCGCATTCGTTTGCAGTTTTATGAACAATTACCGAAAAAATAAACAAGAAACCCATTAAAAAAGTAAAAAAATATATTAAATTTTTTGTCTTTTTAATACAGGAAACCACAGTAAAGATAGTAAAAAAAGAATAAATAAGGAGCAAGATCCACGAGTTTATAACTATTGCACGAGAATGTTACTGCTAATTTGCTAGTTCAATAAAATGCTAACAATTCATTTTTTAAAATAGTTTTATCAATGGAAAGTCTTGCTTAAACATCTGGGATGCACATTGCTAACGAAATAGCTATTCTAATAACTAATTCTTTAAACACACATCACTGTTAAGTTATGTAAAAAAATCTGCGAATAGTTTTTAGTGAAAAATATGAATTTCTTTGGCATATTTGTTTCTCCTAAACTAGAGCCAATTTCTTAAAATAGAAAAAGGAATCGTCGGAAAAGGAGAAGTTATTCTTAAAAAAATTATTTTTAAATATATAATTTGCTTTAATGAATATATAATATAACATTGGATCAATATTTCTGTATATATATTTAAGTGAAACAATGTATCAGTAGCAAATTTTATGAAAATTTATAAAATTGTATTTCATTATTACTGATTTTAAAGCTTGCAAATGTCCTAAAATAATGCAATTTTCTTTAATTTTAATATGAATTTATGATGTAAAACATTATTATATGTATATTATTTTATTTAATTTAAATTATTTGTATCTTTTAATATCAATGACAACTCACAAGTCTCTACGATATTGAAAAGTTTTAAAAGAAAAATTTTGATTGGTCTATTATTCTAACCGATGATAACATTTGCTACTTCAGGTGTAAGTTACGATGAATTGTAACCATTCACATTCCCCGAAAGTTTTTCTCATATTCAGTTTCTGAATGAAAACTTAAAAATAACTTCGCCATTTTTTAGTGGTAATGAGTATTTAAATTTTTGAGATAATTTTAGTTGAATGACGTCATGTTTTTTTTTTTTTTTAATTTTTGGCTCATTCCACCCTGTAAGAATACCTTTTATCCTTACCCAGCATGACTCACAATGAGATCTGTAGGGTAGTAAGGGATGGGACACGACATATCCAGGGATTATTCCTATGACAAATTCCTTAATCCGGCCGTCATATGGTTTTTCATTGATGAATTTGAATTAAAAAGTCAAGAATTCAAATCTTAAGAGTATTTCCTATAGATAAAAATCATGCCAAGACTATCAGATTACGAGATTTCATGCTAAAGTTACATTATACAGTATGATACTTCAGCTTAATTGATTTATAGATATTTCTTCTATTAATATAAATTGAATTTCTCACTTCAATCGTTTTCTTATTTTAACAAATAGATTTAAAATTATCCAAACTTAAAATCTGTTAGCAATTTTCTAAATAAAGAACCATTCGATAAGTGAAAATACCTTCTAACTCTGTAGCTACTTGGCACTGTTTTGTATCAATATCTAAACATAGAATGTAAGCGCACGATTCGATTTATCTGTGATTTTTCTTATAGAAATTAAATGATAAAAATCAACTTATTCGACATTTCTTAATAAAAAAAAATCATATTTTCCCTTTAAAAAATCTCCCATTATGTGACCCAAAGAAAAGTTTGCTATTTTTACATTTATATCGGACAAAACATAGAGACGTGTCATCTATTTATATCATTATTCCATCCACTTTATTTATTTTTCTTACGAAACAAATAAAAAAAGAAAAAGGAATTGGCTGACAAAAATAAAGCGGAAATTTAGCTGTTAAGTGCCTTGTATAAAGCTGTTAATTACGTAAGAAAGTGCCAAGAAGTACGAAAGTGTTTAAAAGTCATTACTCTAACGCGAAACGGATATAAAAATTTCAAGATAATGATAAATATCGTGTATATTATTACCAAATAAAATCTGAATTTTGTTTTAAATACATCCAGAAACCACTATAATATACGAAAACTGTAGAAAGTTGTAAAATAATTCAGTCTAATCGATACCAGGGTCGAACTTGAGATGCATAAATTGATCACTTGTTAGGTCAATGTGATACGATATTTTGATTTCTTAGAAAATAATCGAAATCAAATGAAGTTTTCGATTTTAATTTTAAAAAAAAGTACTGTACTTCCAGAAATACAGATTACAACCAACACAAACCAATTACGTAACACAATATAGGTTTTATAAGGCTCTGTTAATCGAACTGTATAAAATTTAAGATGTAATTTTATTCATTTATCGATTAAAATCAAGCATAAATAAGACTTAAAAAATGTTTTAAAAAATATGAAATTTGGAATTAGATATATTATTGTCATACGAAAAAAGAAATTCTTTACGATTTTAGCTAGGCGACCCGAATGTAGTTTAGTTTATGTTTCATAAAAAAACTTATTTTCTATAAACAGATGCACTAGAATTCTATTTTAGATTATCATCTACAGCCGATGAAAAACAATTCAGCTCGTAACTAGTCCAGAAAGTCACTTAAAAAACGATAAATAATTAACAATAAATAATAATTATTTTGAAATTTTTTACTTGCATTCATTTAAATTATAATTGAGTTTATATCATTTAATTACAAGCAGGGTCGGATTTACAGATAAGCTAAAAAAGCTAGGGCCTCACATTTTTACACGTATTTGATGGAGGAGAAGGGCCTGTTGTAGGCCTATATTATAGCTTAGCCCACAACAAGCCCTTACGTAATTCTCAAGAATTAAAAGTATTAATATAAAAATTATTCAGGCTTTCACTCAATAAAAACTTAGAAGTTAGCCGATACTCATTTATATTGTATGTTTTAACAAACAAACGTTTTAACAATAAAAACATACTGTTTAAATAATAGCTTAAACTATTCTCTCATAGATTTAAATTTTATTTACAAGTATTTTTATACTGAATTTAATAAAATAATATTTGTAATAACTTTCCTAAACACGACCTTTCAGTTCAAGTAACGTTGTAAATTTAATCGTAACAGAATGAATGTATTTTGCTTGATTAATGATATCCTTGTATTTGCAGCAGAAAATAAAGAAATTTTAAACCAATGACAGCGTATAGTTTATCATTTAAACAAGTGGATTTTGTTAGAAAATAAACATATTACGACATAAGATACATTTTAAGTTCCTATATAACTGACTCCAACTAAGTCGAATGGAATGGCTTCTCTGCTGCGAATGCAGTTTGTTCGAAGGAAAAGTTGTCATACATTCATCTAAAAAATTATTTTTTGCAATTGTTTTAAGTTAAACTCTCGATATTTTCATACTAAACACGTAGAAAGGACTTGAGATTTCATTTTTAAACATTTATGTTATATAAAAATAGAAATTAAAATACAATTTTTCTGTCATTTCATTTAAAATATGAATGGATCAGATCACATATAATACAACTAATATATATAAAACTTTCTTAATTAAAAGGATTTTTAACCGGGAAAAAAGTTGTTCCGTTATCTGTTTAGTCAGAAAATAGTAATGATATATTCGAAAATAATTGTTTACGTTGTTTTTACTTGTCCTTTTTTTTCGGAAACTGCATGAATTATGATAGCGGAATATATCCTATTTGGCACAATGTTGGCAGAGTCTGAAAAATTGGCTCTTAAATCAACAAAAACAATTATTTTATTTTATGAATAACTAGACGAAAAAAATTACCCTTATTCCAAAAGATGATATAAATTTTTAGAATTTCTTAAGTTTTTTTAAATTTTCTAGATACCAGCGTGTACATCTATGATACATTAATAAGTTAGTTTGTAGTTTAAAATCACTATAGAAGTTATATGTCGTTATCAGAGGGTCGATATACGAATTTTCACTTACACGTCGTTGATTAGGGACGATAACCTCGGTATAAATACAATATATTTGCACTTACATTGCTTAAACAAGAAAACACGTGCATATTTCTCTTTTTCTCCTTCTGTATTTAACGTCATAATTACACAATATAAAATATATACAGTATGTATCAAAACATAAAGCTATGCAATAGCTCACGTTTCCTGTTTTAGGCAGCTCTGAAGAGAAAAAGAAGACATTGCTTAGAAACGGGTCTGGACCCTTATATTAGACCCGAGAGCCTTTTTTTAAGGGGTTGAGAGCCCCTTGAGGAGATAGAGATTTTACCGGGTCCCGTGCGGTCTCTCAGGGGCTTATGTCAAATTAAACATAAGTGTTAAAAAAGACCTACGCCTAATTTTGTAAGATTAAAGGGAAAGTATTATAACCGGATGTAGAGTAACTTAATCAAATCTAATTTTTAAA